AACTGAATGACGATGTGGCGGACTTAATGCTGTCATTTATTGGTAACGTAAATTTAGTCTGATTTCTTAGTTTCTTTATAGTCAACGTATGCGGTTCGTTACGGTGCGCGCGGTATTCGTTTGAAATATATAATTTTTTTTTTGAAAATTCAACAAAACAACTAGTGCAACGAATTTGAATAGGGATTACCCTATAAATTTCGCTTAATAATTTTTATTTGTGATATTTGGCGTTTATTTTTATTTTTTATACTCTCCGGTTTTTTATTTTTTTTACGAAATATATATTTTTTTTTTGTTGATACGAAAATAAAACGCAAATCTCTTCCACTGGTGTTGTTCGAATTTTAAGAAGAAAAATAATTTGAAATTGTAAAGTTACTTTTGGCATTACACCCATCATCAATACGATCAATACTCTGCCTGCACAACAATTACATAATAATTGAAATAAAATATAACCAATAAATAATTAATCGATTATCTAATACGAAATTAAAATACAAATATTGGAATACTCTTTGAGTCTTTGGGAAACAAGATAGAGAAAATTAAAATTTCTGGTTTCGATTTCTGATATAATCTTTTTTCGAAATCAGTAGATAACTATTGACCTTGACCTAATAGTAAATCACACTACATAAAACATAAAAAACATAGTTAATAAAATATCGAATTAACCTTAAAAGTGACTAATTTTTGTGTTAACAGTTCATGTGTTTTTCCAAACAGTTTTGTGGATAATAATTGTTTTTGAAACAATTCCTTGGTCATTTTTATTTTAACCTCAAAATTGTCATTACACTTCCTTGTAATTTAGAATCTGCAAAATTGGTGACAGTCAAGGTTTTTCTTAATAAAAATATAAATCATAATAAAAATCAATATTAACTTACTTTAAAAATAAACTTGAAAAGAAATAACTTTAGTCTGTCAAATAAAATCTTCAAAAAATATTTAAAACATTGGAAAATAGGATTTGGGGATCCTTTTTCCAAGAAAATATAATCAAAAATAACAGATAACAGGCAGCCACAACTTATGAACCCATGAAGATCTAGAGCACCATACCTTATGCAGAGAAGAATCACCATAAAATTCCACTTCAGGTTTTCGGGGAATATGTATTCCCAGGATCTACCTATAATCCTAGAAAGTCAGAAACCATCAAAGGCCCTCAATAACCTCCTTAAAGGGCGATAATTTCCAATCCTTCGAAGACCTGAGAATTGATATTTTAATAGCCTAGTTAGAACATAGGGAATGTCTATTTTCCTGGGAGTTCCACTCGCAGATTGGCCTGCAAAAACAGGCCGCAGAAATGAGAACTTGTTACGAATAATTTTGCGCCTCTTAAGTTCCGTCTTTTCTTTAAAATTTCAATGTTCTAGCTCTGAGCAATCGCCCAGTTACAATGTTGTATAATTTTAGGACTTCTCGTGCCCTTAAAGAACGAACTCAAGAAATACCTGACGTAGTTCTCCCCTCTAAACAAAAATTTCCTACCAAACCCAATTATAAATTTCAGCTCTTATTGAACAGTATTATCAATGTTGTACAATTTTCCAAATTTCTCACCCAACGTTCCAAGTTCTAGTCCTTATCGGTCGCTCACTTACAAATTGGTAACATGTAGTGCTTTTTTGTACGAATTTGCTATAATACACCGAGTGTATACCCAGTTTTGTGCAATTTTATAGTTTTCGTAACCTTCAGTTCGAAATTCAGAAAATAACCCTTTATATGACCCCACTCCCTCAATAAGTCCCTCCTACACACAATTATAAATTTTAGCTCTTATGGAACAATATAAAACCAAATTGTACCATTTTGTGCTTTTTTAGCACTTTTTGGTACTCTTAAAGTACTTTTAAGGTATGAGCTTTCAAAAATTCCGCACCCAAGAGTGAAACTCAGTTCCAAGTTCTAGTCTTTATCGATCGCTCAATTACAAATTGGTAACTTGAAGTGCTTTGTGTACCCCTTTTAGTACGAATTTGAAATAATACACCTAACCCGCACCATTTGGTAGCTTGTACCACTTTGCATACCCTTAAAGCACGAAGTAACCAAAAATTTGTGCCCTTTTTCCATTTATATAAAAAGTTTCTTCCGGACTAAATATAAATATGTTTTAGTACTATTATGTACTGTTTAGCGCTTTTTGTACCCTTAAAGTACGATCTTTCAAAAAATTCCACAAATTTTCAGCCTAGAGAAACACACCAGCAAAATTTCCAAGATATGAAGTAGATCTTGGAAATTTTGCTGGTCGATCGCCTAAATATAAATTGGTAACTTTAAGTACCTTTCGTACACTTTTAGTACTTTTGGTACTGATTTGGTTTTTTGACAGCCCAATCTGATTGATTGCTTAGAAAAATTTCAATCTTTCACTTACGATAAAATGCCTTTTAGTACTTTTTGTACCCCTAAAGTATGAAGTTTTAAAAATATTCTATATTTCACTCCTCTACACAAAGAGGGACCCGTATACACAATTATACAATTTTAGTACTGATTTATCGATATCATCCTTGTACCATTTTGTATATTTTCTGTACATATTTCCAATAATACATCTCATCCTGCACTTAAGTGTCTCTTGTGCAAAAATTAAATTTTTATTTAATTTTCGATTGCTCGATTACAATGTTGTACCTTTAGGTACTTTTCGTACCAATAACACCAAAATTTCCGAAAATTACTCCTTGCAGATAACCCACTGCCATAAGTTCGATCCCATATCAAAATCTAAAAAGTTTTCGCTCTAACCAGCCATTCAATTGCAATTTTGTACTTTTTAGAACTCTTCGAACGTCTGAAGTACAATTTTCCGATAGTTCCGTGCTTTTTCGTTCTTTTCGAACCGAATTTTTGAAGTTCCATAAGGCCCACCTATCTACTCCAAAAATGTTTTATCCATCGTTCCACAGTTGTACCTTTTAGTACTTTTCGTAACATTAAGGTTCAAAAAATCCTGTCTAACCTCAGGTCTCTACACGAAGGTCGAACAATAAGAACCAAAAATTTAAAATGGTCTTGGGCATTTTCAATTTTTGGTTCTTCAAAGGTAGTTCGACCAAAAGGTAGCCATAAAAAAGTGGATTATCCTTCCACTGATGAAGGCGTGTCTACTCATAGAAAACATAAAGGGCGTCTCATTTGCATAAAATATTTATTGATGGCCGCCTATCCACAAAATTCCCAAAGAAGTTCGGCAATTAATATAAGAAAAAAATAATGATATTTATTTATAAAACTAGGTCGTTTATCTATGTAAGGTCATCTGTATGCAAAATTTAAAAAAAAATTGTGACTTTTTTTTTTTCCTGAGATCCGCTTTATACAAAATACATTTCTGTCTGTACCATCGGAAATTTTTTTTGTTTTTTTTTTTTCTTTGTTTCCATGAAGATTTCCAACTATCTGCAAATCCCAACTTTTGCACAGAAACATAAAATCTGGATTTTTTACCCCAAACAACTGTTCCCTTGAATTTTTCAACATCTGACATCAATTTAATATTTGTATTATGATTTTCATAATTCTTGTTAATTTTGATAATAAAAAACACCCTTCTAACTTTCCCAAACACACATGCACACATTTGAAATATAATTTTGTATTTTTTTTTAAGTTCCATGTAATTGTTGTGTCACACATGTTCATTTTAATGTTTTAACTTCTTTATCGTGTGTTTTTTAATATTATTTGATATTTATTTGTTGTTGTTGTTTCTTTTTTATTTTTCGTTTTCGTTTTTGCTAATATGTGAATCAAACCAAATGCTTAACCAAAATGTTTACGCTTGCTTGGCACTGTCGCTAACTTTTGCTAATTAACCAACTCCGAAAAAAAACTCCAAACAAAAAACAAATATGCGACCACCCGCGCTTACCAACACCCCATTCCAACACCAACAAAAAAATTGATAGCAGCCGGAAGAAATGAATCTCAACGATTTACCCCTGCCCCCACCGCCATCACCCACACAACTCCAACAATTCGAAGAACAAAACACTAACAATAACAGCAGTGATAACAGCAACATTCCACCACACTCTCGGACACTGAGCAGTTTATCCTCAATGTCCTCGGGTTCCAATACAACACATTCCTCGACACATTCCCTATCGCCCACACCCTACAGCTGCTTCGCCCAGGTCAACCAACAGACAATGGCCGGCAATCAGGCAACTTCCTCCACCATATCCTTGGATCATTATGGCTCCTCATCACCGCTGCATTCAAGACAGACATCCTCATCATCGTCGTCTCTAAGTTATGGCATAGGCAGTGGTGGCAGTGGCAATAGTGATAATTATGTGTCATCGCCCTTGCCGCCCCCACCGCCACCACCACCAATGCCCCAGCAGGATAACAATACCGATTTGTACATTAACACAATGAAGCAGCACAACAATGCCAGCAACAACAATACCAAATGGTTGACCAGGCAAAATGAGAACGATAAGAATTGCTATAATAAGGCGGCGTCCAAGGCCCCCGGCCTGGTAGGTGTTGGTGTTGGTGGCGGTGGCGGTGGGGTTACGGCCACACTGCCCACAACACAAAAGGTCTATAATAAATTTTTAAAAGAGTATTCCAATAAATTGTTGACCCAAAACAAGAATGGTGACCACCAGCAGCAGCCAGAACAACAAATACACAATTATGCAGACAATAACAATACCCTGCCAGCAACAAAAACAACAACAATGGCTATTGGTTCGCATAACAACAATAGCCGTCCCAGTCATACATTCATTAATAACTCCTACACTGCCAGCAATACAACACCCAAACCCTTTATACCCCAGCCCAGCAATGTCAATGGCATATTCCAAAAACAGCAACACCAACATTCTTTACACAGCAACAACAAAAACAACAACAACAACATCAGTATCGATGCTGATCTCAACAACACTAGCTTACCCAGTGTTGCTGCCCTAACAGCCACACTCAATAATCAATTGAAATTTGATTCATGTCAGGTTGCACCACAACAACAACAGCAACTACCAACAACAACCACAGCAACACCACCTAGTAGCAATTTACCAATTGTAGATAAGAGTCTAATTAATAGCGACAACACCAAGAACGCCTCGAACTCGAACATCATCTGCAACAACAACACCAACAACAATCCCGAAAACTTCAACACCTCCGCGGTTACTAACGACATGTCCTCGACCATGGCCTCCTCAAGGCCTAGCATAAGTGAACAATCGGCCAGCAACGGTGTTGGTGGCTCCGCCGGTGACAAACCCTTTGAATATGTAACCCTCACGGGCAATGTCATACGTAGTGTTGTGCCACCCGGTAAGGGCACTAATGTTAATTACAAGGTAAGTAGGCCAACCAAAAAGCAAAAACAAAAAAAAAAATGATAGCAAAAACAAAATGCAGCAATGATGGCAGCATGTCGTTCTAGAGCATAACAATGATCATTTCCCTCACCCATACAATCATCATTATGTTGCGTGATGATCATTATGGGGGGGGAGCTAATGAGAGAAAGAGTGCTTTCGGATGTAGAGTAGAAATGTTGATTGTAAATATTTTTGTTGTTGTTTTTGAGCTAACCCAACTGCCTGCATGCCAAACATGTTTATTTGTTTAGTAGTACAATAATATAGAAATCCTACATTTTTTTGCTATAAAATAAAATTAATAGAAAAAAGTAGCCCAGCAAACAAATTAAAAATGTACAAAAAAAAAAAATATCGTTTGGGACGGATTAAAGCAATTTTTGTAAAATAATTACATTTAAGAATAACTAAAAATGGTTACAAGGAACAGGGATCTGAGTGAAACTTGATCATATGAAGAACACATTTATTCCTTGTAACCGTTGTAATCTATTGTTGAAAGATATGGGTATTTCCATGGAGAAAAGAAGCGAAATATTTAAGAATAATGTTTGTTTGCAAAATAATTTGCGAATTTTGTAATCTTAAAAATAGTAAGAGAGAGAGAGGAAGAGAGAGAGAGTGAAATAAGGAATTCGTCCTGAGAGAAATAAAGGGAGATTTTTAAGTAATTTGATTTTTATAGGAACGGTTAAAAAAAACATGAAATCTTTATTTAAGACTATCTTAAAGATTTTTAAGCACATATTTCAAATTTTTGGACTAAATGCCCGAACTCGCCCTAAGCCACATTGCATGCCAAGCAAGCTCTTGCTGTTTGGGCAAAAAGGATATGGATATATAGCACGGTAGCGCTCGCCAATCACCTTAACTTTACCACTCGCAGCATCTTTGAAGAAGTGCGATCCAATGATGCCATACACACACCAAACTGTGGCCTTTGTGGAAACAATGGTAGCTTTCTGTCTGATTTTCACGGAAATCGCTAAATCGCCTTAGAATTTTACGCTGAACCAGAATATTCTTTGTAAGATCTAACATGAGCATTTCGAGGTTTTAGAAGCGGATAGATAATGACATAGAATGATGGAGTGTATAAAAATTGTATTTTTTCATGTCCACGTTTTCGTATAGCCATATAACGGTACCTCCAAAATGTTGAACTTTTAATGAATTTAACGACATTATTTAACGGAATTGTTTGAAATTCGTTTTTGAAGTTCATAATACGTACTACAGCTTATGATCAAAAATTGCGTATTCATCAAGTACCCCATTTAAGCGTACCTAACGATGCTCGGTATTTAAGCGGTATTTTTCAACGGATTTTTTTTTTTTAAATTTGTCAAGATCCTTTCGAATGGTGTAGGGTATAAAAAGTTCGGCGGTTTGTGGTCATATTATAGATCAAATTAATACTGAAAAACGAAACGTGCCTGGTCTCTTTAAGCCAGTGCCGACAATAATGACTAAAAAATCGTTCATTATTTCGACCGAATATCAAACTTAGATAATAATATTTTAACAACGCCTGGTGTAGTCAATCAGATAGCGTTATTCGTCGCGATTTTAATATGTTCTCTTATGTAAGGTTAGGTTAAAGGACGATCACCTGACTATTTTCAAAAAATTAAGAGAATAAGTAGATACGAAAATATGTCGAGTGTGTTTTACATGAAATAGAGTAGAGGTGAGGATCAGAAAATAAAACTTTTATTATTCAAGGTTGTATATTATTAACCATTTTTAACTTCAGGCCAGTTGAAGAATAACTTCCGGTTTTACCTTGTGTTTGGGAAGATAAATCATAAAACTAAGTGTTACACCGAATAGCACTGTACACTATCAGAGCATAAGTTTGACCATTTTAGTCTCCTCCTCGTCCTGACAGAGCCTGTTGTAGTCGGTGTTGTCTCCCTTTCACTTGGAAGTCATGAACCTTTTGATGCCTTATTTGATTCCCACAACAGTTTTTGGTTAGGTTTCTCTGTGGAAATAATCGACGTTCTTCTTATTTTTCATTATTCTCTTGCGGAAAGGGTTTGTCAACTTATCCTCGAAGCGTTATATCCTCCTCATGTAGAATTTTTTGTTGTCCTCCCGGAGCACCTCGTACCACCGTCTTCCTAATTTATCCGCTATTTTGGGATCAGTTCAATTTGTTTTAAATTTATATTATTTAACCAGGTTAACTATTTTTATATCCTTAGCCTTATGGCAACAGTGATACGATCAAACTTAGATCGATTTTGGCGATGATCATTATCAGTTCATGCATTATAATTTAAATTTAAAAAAAAAATATATTGACCTATGGGAGTTATAACATGTACATCGTAATATTACTTAGGTCAGTTGCGAAAATGGACAATATTTTTTCCTTCCTTCTGGTATCTCCCCCACAAAAGTCACAAGTTTTGAATAATAATAAATCCCTTAAAATGGAAATCAATGTTCGATCCACTTCAATTTTTGCACATTCATATACTTTTGCCATACTCGCCACTCGATTTCGAAGGTCAGCATCAGCGGTTCACTTTTTTTGGAACCTCCCTTAAAAAGTTCAACATTTCGTAAAAACTAAAATATCATGTATTCGAAGTTCATTGTAGATACGCAATATTTAGATACGACAGAGGTCAAAATGGAAAATTCACAATATTGCTTTACTCTTTTTTGTACCTTCTCCATAAATGGTCAAAATTTTGAATAATAATAGCCTCTTCGAAAATGACTTCCAAGAATTCGAAAACTCTATCTCATTATCTGACCAAGCAAAAATATCTAAAATAAAAGCGGTATTAAATCGAAAATTGATTTTCAGTTTATTGGAAAAAATCGCAAAAAATATGACTTTTTGTTGAGAGATAATTTGGGAAAATCTTGTCTATTTTTGCTATATATCATTGCAATTTTTTATAAAATTCTTTTTTCAAAAACTTTTTATGGAAATACCCATATCAATATGCAATACCTTACTACTTCTTTTTATAAATAAAACTAAATACTATTCTTCGCATCGTTAATAACAATTTCTCTGCCAACGCTCTTTGTCTTACAGGTCAATCAAGGCTATGCTCGTCCCTATGGTGCTCCACCAGCTGCTGCTCCCAAGTCCCCAGTTACTTTCCCACCACAACCCCAACAGTGGAATGCTCCACCACCAACTCAACCTAAACCAACTGTGCCAGCTGGCAATCCTTATGCCACTTTGCCACGCTCCAATGTTGGCCAAGGACAAGGTAAGCTTTATGAACTGCTAGACAGAGACGATTTTGAATTTTCACAAAATCAAGGAGATTGGGTTTGATAAAGTTTCTAGTTAAAATTAAATCAGAATTTCAAAAAAAAAAAATGTGATAAATTTCAATACTCTTTTTTTATAAATGATGAAATCATATTTTTTATAAAATTTTACAAAAAAAAAAACGAAATTTATATAATTTTGATAAATTTTCTAGCAAATTTTGTTTATTTAATAATGTATATAATTGTTATTACACCACAATTTTGCCTTTGTTAACAACCAAGAAACCCAATTTTTTTCCTAAATAAAGTTTAAAATCTATATACGTATCCTTAAGAAATTAAGAAAAAAAAATTAAAACCAACCACAAAAATGGCCTACAACAGCTAACACAAAGAAAAGAAAATTAAACAAAATTACTCAAAATTCTGCATTAATCCGGCTCTATGTTGTGCTCCTTTACATTTAACAAAAAAAAAATCACAAACAACAACCACAAAATTTGGAAATTCAAAACAGAAACACATGTGGCCCCAGTTAGAGCTTGCTTTTTTCTCTTCCTTCCCTTAATTTTCGTTCTAAAATTGCCGTTTTTCTCTCTGGAATTTGAAATATTTGCTGAAATTTGGAAAAACCTGCTTTGTAGATTCTGTTTAAACAATTCAATTTAAAAACAAACCGAAAACATTATAAATATCCTTTTTTATTTACGTATATTTTGTATATTTGTGTCAACAAACACAAATGTTCATACTCAACCTCCAAACAACCAACCGAAACGAAAATATTGAAAATAAAACAAACACCAAACAAAACCAATTCCAGTTCGTAGAACTCAGTCGTTGTACAACAGCAACAGCAATTATAGCAGCAACTATAATATGTCACAACAATACAAGACTCCAAGTTTTGTAGGTGGACCCAATAGGTACTCAACTCTGCCCTCTTATAATACATCATCCTATAACAGCAAAAACTTCTACAATAGCTACAACTATCAAGGTAAACCGTAAAAGACAACATGCAACAAAGCTGGTATGACAAGCATCTGTAGCAAACATGTTTGAACGGCATATTTGCAACGGTTGTTTGACAAACAAGTTTTATCCCGCAAGTTTGACATGCAAATAATTTTTATACAAATCTAGGAACACATTTGCATTGATTGCACTAAACAACTATTTGATTTTGTTGCAATTGAAATCATTATAAACAATGTCAGCCTGCCAATTTAAAATAATTTCCAAATTTAGTTTGTTCTCGATTCGTAAATATGAAACTTTCCTTCAGCTTTGTTTCTAATTCACAATTGCTGCTTAGTAACGCCCATTGCTGTGCACTGACACAAACACTGAATTTCTTCCCAGCAAAATGTTCACTTTATATTCACAAGCAATTCGGACCTCCTCACCTTATACACATTGATTCCCAAAATTATACAAATCTAGTTTGGAACTTATCATACTCTACGGAATATTTCGTATTTTTCATTGTCATCCTTTTTTTTTAAATATTGTATTTTTTGCTACATGATTTTTAAATGTTATATTCAATTAATAATTTAATCTAATTTTTTAAATTTTTAAACAGTTTTCGCAAAATCTTAGTGATTTTGAGTAATTAACAATGAAATGAAAATGTGAATAAGAGATGGCGCCCAAATGAGACTACTTCCATTCATGGTGCCATACTCTTTCTGATCAGGAGAAATGTTTTTTTTTTTGGTTTTACATAAATTATTCAGATAAGATGGCTTATTTCCCACTGCAAACCTCTTTCCGAATACCAACTTTTATTTTTTCAGTCACACAAATTATTCAGATATAGATGACTCATAACTTATGACCAACTGTTGTTCGTCCGAAAAATTAATAATCTTTTGCCGAGAAATACAGTTTTGATTTTTATGTAGCAGGATTTTAGTGTAAGGATATTAGAATGCAAATACAGAAAAAACTTAGTCTGAAATACCCTTAAATCCAATTGAAACGACTGAAAAGAACGATATATGGGGCAAAAGCCGATTTACGAGGCATCAAATTATCTAAATATAGATGGCGCCATTGTGCTCATTTTAAATTTATCAATCGATAATTTAAAAGATTTTTAGCAATAATTACAGTAGTAGTTGATTGCAGTATTACCAGACATTTGGGTAATGAGGAAACATTTTTTGAAATCTTTGGACTTCCTGGAAAGACACAATATTCGTGTATAGGTGGCGCCGGAAATATGCTCGATCTCTAAACTTTTAAATAAATTTATATTATTAGGGTATAGGTGGCGCCAAACATGTGCTTAACTTTAGCACTTAAAAATTAATGTATATTGACTTAGACTTATTTGCTTTTAATTTGTATATGACCAGGCATTTGTGAGAAGAAAATAGAATACAAAGTCCCAAATACCTAGAATGCAATTCGAACGACCAACGATGAATGTCACTTATAAAAATGACATATAGGGCAAAAACAAATAAAGTACATATTTAATTTTTTAGGTCCTGGTGGTGGGAAAGATAAGCTTATTGATGGAACAATTAATGAATTTTTAATAAAATCTATAAATGGCGCCCAACGTGAGCATTCAAACTGATAATTATTAAATAATGGCTTTGAAAGAAGGGAAATAGTTTTTGGCATTTATATTGCAATTGATGTGTTGAAAAATAATTTGTGGAACGACTGTACTGTTAGCCAGGCACGGATAACATCTGATGTAAATCGTCCTGTATGGTCTCAATTTTGTGGCCAATAGTGAAAATAGTTGAAGCTTAACTTCTCCTCATCATGAGAAGTCAATATCATATGCTCAGATTCCCTTTTGGAATACAAGTTCCTGTTGTAGCCGTACGGAAGTGAGGCGCAGAGAAACTAGACCTCGAAAAAGGAATAACCACATGTTTTTTATCTTCTTATTGGTACAACAACACAAAATATCCGTTTGGGGTTTCTCTCGCAATTTAGGTTTCCGTTGGCTATTATAAAAATCCATTTTAAATATTTTTTTTTGTTTTAGACGAATGCAATTTGTTATTTAGAGGTCTGATAATATGGGACCATATCTTTACTTTATGGTGCAACATAGCTTTTCGCTCTCTGAGCATTAAAGGTTATAGAAAACGGACATTCCTCTTTATATTTTCCATCAGTAAAATACCCTTATTAAAAATGTATAAAATCAAACGGGTAAATACAGAAAAATTCAAAAAGTTAAACCACAGTTGAGAATCAATTTTTTCCTTGAAGGGTCCTAGATAAAAGATGTGCCTAGTGCCACCGGACATCCTTAATATATCACAAAGATTGCCAGTAAAAACATGATCTAATTATCCATTGAACTATATACTTCCTTCAGAAGTGTACAGATTCTGATAATCAATTTTCCTTAAAGAATTTTTAAAAAAATATCGACCGTCTTACAAAATGCAGATTTTTTAGATATAAATGGCGCCCAATAGTGGACTATATCGCAGTAACCCCTTAAGGCTAAATTTGAAAATACTAGTTAAAGATTGCCGACCTTTTTTAAACCTAGATGGCACCCAATATAGGACTGTATCAATGAAACCACTTAAGGGTCACTGTTAAACATAAGCTGAAAATAAAGTATTGCCTTGTAGAGTCCTAAATATTTCACAAATGTGAACAGTGAACATATACTTTGGATTTCGTTGAATTCAATGCAGAATATAGAGATTTTGATGGTCATATAATATCCTATCCAATATCCAATGGTCAAGATTCTTCCTACTACTACTGTTTTAAAGATCCTGTTGGATAAATTTTAAATTAAATTGAAAAATTCAAATGTCAAAATGTAGATGGCGCCCAATATGGAATAACATCGCACTAACCGTTTAAGTCTGAATTTAAAGATACTTGCTTAAAAAAACCGACGTTTTTTTAGATCTAGATGTCGTCATTTGTGTTAAATAATGGACGAAATCTTCATTTGGAGTTATACTTCCTGTTTTCTATATATTTTATTTCTTAATTTGGCATAAAAATCATTTTAAAAATAAAGTTAAATCTTGAAGTGATGAAAATTATTAATATACATTGGCATATAAGAAAATTTAAAGCAAGATTTTGATTTGTGAAACATCATAAGAACACGCATGTATAAGTATATTTTACTCCACGTATTACATTCGTATAAAATCATATATTGAGATATGATGGAAATGAAGTCATGCACGTGTACATATATCAATTTCTTTTACTATAATGAACATTGGAAACAAAACCAAAAAAAAAAACGGAAACAACTTTACAGACAAATGAAGCCGACATATGAATACTATGGACAGTGGGCCAAATTCGAGGAATCAAAATGAAATAAAAAATAAAAAGGCGGTTGCGAAATTTTTCTTTAAAGGATAATTTTCATTGTCTCTTCTATATAACCTTACTCCACTGTATCCAATCACACAGACGCACAAGTTTCCATTTCCAGGATACCTATACTACTGTGTGTGAGTTTGTGTGCGTGCGTCTACATAATTTGTTTATGGTAATGAGTTTTTATTATCATAAATTTACTATGCCGTATAGCCACACATATATATGGCTGTTTTTCCAGTTGTTATTGTTGTTCTTCTTGTTATTATTATTGCTTCTCTTACCATTATTGACATCGCCCCTCATACATACATGTATCTCCATGGGTAACACATATTCCCCTCTGTCGTCTCCTACATGATTGGTAAAATATATTTTTGCTTAATTTGTTGCAATAACAAAACAATAGGAAACACAGGAAAACGCTCAATCAGACAATGTTGAAGAGGAATTTCATTGCATATATATTTTTTTATACATATATATTTCTTCATCACATTATTGTTATTATGTTGTTGTTGTTTTTACACAATTTCTCTTTTACATTGCCGCCAACAACACAGCCAATTCAATCACAGATGTTAAAATTCACATGATTTTTCCGTTGAAAAGGATCAACGAGAGAGCGAGAGGAACAACATAATCGATAAATACCGTCATACCCATAGGTATATGCATGAGTATGGGTGTGTTGTACAGGATAATGGAGGAATGACAAGTAGAAATAACAGTAGGGAAATATGTCTATGTATATGTAGCGAAATTTTTTTTCATGCATATCTATAAAAAATAAAACCAGTAAAGAAAGACTTAAAGTCGGGCGGGCCGACCTTATGATACCCTACACCACTTTGCTAATTTAGTAGAGCTCCACATTTAAAGTTTTATGGGAGAATTCAATCATACACGCTATGATTATAATAATACTAATTATGCCGAAGCATTTGTACCTCTTAAATTCGGACTTGTATTGCCCATTTGATGCACAATTAATTTGAAATCGGATAAGGACATATATATGGGAGCTATATCCAAATCTGAATCGATCTCGATAAAATTTGCAAAGATATATTTGAGCTGTATTTGATACATTCCCTGAATATCGTTATTACGGAGTGCATATTACGAGTGTGGGTAACAAATATAACAACTCGGATGAACAATATATATAGGAGCTATAGCTATATCTGAACCGATCTTCACCAAATTTGGCATACTTACTTTCAGGCCTAATTTGGTTGTATGTGCAAAATTCCATACTACTCGGGCTGATTTTAGACGTTTGGTGCACAATAAAAGGGAAATCGGACGAAGATATATATTGGAGCTATATCTACATTTTGACCGATTATCTCCAATTTCAATAGGGTTCGTCCTTGAGCCAAACAAATGATCTGTGCAAAATTTCATTTGGATGGAGCAATAAATGCGAACTGTACTTTGTTTAAAAAAATACATGGACAGACGGACAGACAGACGGACGGACGGATATGCATAAATCGACTCAGAATTTGATTCTCTGCAGATCATCAAAAGGAACTATGGGTCTATCTCGTTTCCTTTTGCCTGTTACAAACAAATGCACAAATACATAATACCCTGACCACCTTGTGGTGTAGGATATAATTCAGATATTGAAAAAGCTGACATTGGTACTAAAGACAGAAAAGAATGAAAAAAAAGATTTAGTAAGAAAATATAACATATTATTAAGTTTTTAAAAATTAATATAAAGTTTTAGTGGGACTTTGAACAACCTCAATTTGTCCAACGAAAAAAAAACATCCATTTCGATTTGAAAATTTTCAAAAAATTCGGAACGGTTTTATACTGTATAGTAAGTGAAAAATATTGAGATGAGCAGGTTTCAGAAATTCCGGCACTAATTCCATTTTATGGCACTATGAGTATCACCCCTTCTTTAGATGAGAAGAATCATGGGGTGCTGGAAAAATAAAAAAAATATATATTTATATACATATCTTGGCTTTAGAATTTATAAGACCCGACATATACACTGCAATATATATTTTGACCCATAAAATGTCCCCCTCCAATTTCCTTCTCTTAAATATAAAATACTCTTAACATTTGCTTGCCAACTGTTATTCTCTTCCCTGCTTTTCACTTTAACACTCTTCATTACTCAACCCCTTAAAGATAAATTAAAATATTTGTTCGAAACAACTAAGAATAACAAAAACAAAATTCACTTTAATTTTTTTAGGTTACTATCAATACTAGAACAAATATTTTGTATAACCAAAAACTGTCACCAAGATACCTACTCATCCAGTCCAAATTGTATAACAAAACAAACAAAGCAAAAATAAATCCCAACAAGATCCTCTCGTGCATGTTGATAACCACCGCACAAGTCAAGCATGTAAAAAGGATATAAATATGTCACAGTGTATCAGCCAGCAGCAGTTCCTTCTTTTGGTGGATGAAAGGACAATCAATGAGTTACACAAATATGAAAAGAAAAACAAAAACAATTTTTGTGTGGTTATATACAGTATAAAGGAAATACAATTACAAAATAAATAGTTAACAAATGTTGAAATACAATTCAAATAGAATTGTTGGTTTTTTTAACTTTTTTTCAAACATAAATAGTTTGTATAAACATGTCTATATATTTCTTTGGTTACGTTTCAAAATTTCTTTCTTTAACAAAACAAAATTAATTCGAATTGTCGGTAATTTCAAATAATAAGCACTTCAAAATGGCAAGTGTCAGTGGAATTACCAGTTTTTTCTCTATACCTATCTTTTTGAAAATTACACCTAACCCAAATGATATTAAAAGATTTGTTATATATTTTCATTAACTTTATAACCACAAAAATTGTTTGCGTTTCTTTTCTGTGTCTGTGTGTATTTGTTGTTATCGTTTGTTTTGTTATATTCAATATGTTTTTGCATGTTTTAAATCAATCGATTGAATATAAATTGAAATCATTCAGATCAACTGGAAATGTTCAAATATTCAAAGTATAATGGTTTAGAAATGCTTTGATGCATTCAAATGTCATTTATTTTTGCAAAACCATTAAAATTTTAAAAAATTATATACTTTTGATCCAGTATAACAGTTTCATTAAACGGTTATACTTGTAATGTTTCGCTCACCATGTTAGTTTTTAGGGGAAGTATTTGACATTTTTAAGTTTCACCATAAAATTCAGTATATAACAGTTTGGCATGTTCAATATACATGTTTTCTCAGGGAGTTTAAGTTATAACAGTTGCGTCATAAACTACAGCGCATAACAGTTTCACAAAACTGTTATACTATCGCTATATTTTGAGTGATTTGATGATCTAATGTATTTTAAGCACTCAAAAGACCCGTTTTCTCAGGTAGGTTAAATTATAACAGTTTCGTTTAACTGTTATTCACTCTCACAACTTCGGCGAAGGATTTGTTTTTATTGTGAATAAATGTGTGCATTACGTATTTAAAATATCTTTAATAATTACTTTTTCCAAGACAAACAAAGAAATGTATGTAGCAAAAAACATTTTAATTGACGAAAGCCACTGCATATCTAAACGCGTATAATAGTTTAGCAAAAATTAAAATTGTTCGAATTCAATACATTTTGCCTAGTATAACAGTTTATTTTAACTGTTGTACATATTTTTTGCATATCATGTTCCTATTTAGTTCAAATTACGCCATTTGGGCACAAACTACAATGTATAACAGTTTTTATAAAACTGTTATACTACTGCTATTCTTTTTAAAAAAGATTGTTGTTTTGCCCTTACACTTTATGATCATTCAAAATACTTGTTTTCTCAGGAAATCTATAGTATAACAGTTTCACTTAACTGTTATACAAGCGCAGAACTTCTGGCAAATGCTCGATTGTATATTTAATAGTCATATTATATCTTATTTTCTATACATTCTTGGTTATAGCCACTTTTTCCTAGACCGCCAACAAATCAATTTATGTAGCAAAAAATAAACATTTTCAAAATCAATCATTCATCAAAGAAAACCCCACCATTAAAAAGGGTCCATTTGTGTTCCAAATAAAATTGTTATACACACCACCCTCAGTATACACTGTTGATTAACGTCTAAATACACTAAACGCTTCTAGCTGTATATAGATATAAAAAATATCAGCACCGCTGCCTTGCAACAAGTCTAACATGAAAACATTTTTTATTTATTTTCTCTTTCTCCTAAAAAATACATCCACATTCACACACCAATACACACAATGCAAACAATTTGTTGTTCAATAAAATGCAATCTCCCTACACAATTGGAGAAAATTTAATCACTAACCAACAAATATTTAACCAAAAACACAAAACCACGCAAACAATTCCATTACCATCCCATCATTGTCAACATCCTCATCAACATCATTCATCTCGTCGTTATCATCTTCCAAACTGTTGTTGTAATTGTTAAATTGAAAAAAAAAAAAATAAAATAAAACAAAAACAAACAATCACATCAATTTGAAAATGCTGCAAATCAACATTCCAATATACCTCCCTCCATACTCCCGCCTTCCATGACGTTGGTTGTGATGGTTGGGCTTTTGTTCAGAAGAAGCCGCAGAGGAAGTCTTGCAACCGCAATATGCTGAGACGTCATATTTCGAAGAAGATTTCGAAGTGGAGAGGGCAAATCGCCAGGTGCGTTCGAATTTCTGTTGGCCGCCGCAGCAGGATGATCATCGTACTCCCACCGCTGCACCACTTTATATAGCCCCACCCGAAACTCAACATGTTGAGGTGAAACCCATAGAGAATCCGCCTCCACCTGAGACTGGGGAGAGGCGAGTATCGCAGCAGCAGCAACAACAACAGGCTCAAGCTCAAGCTCAAGCACAAGCTAAGCAACAGCAGCAGCAACAGCAACAAAGCCAATCGCAATGGCAAAGTCGTTCTGCACCTCAACTCACGGCTGGTGTACAATCAACGGAATGTGAATCGGGTTCGGATTCCTATACTTCAACCAGCACTACAGCCACGACCACCACCTCCGATGACTATCAGCGCATGTATGCTGCTCAGGCCCAAGCCTATCAAATGCAACAGCTCTATGAACAATCCGGTTCCGAATTCGACTACCACATGGACATGGAAGTTGCATCAATGCAGCAGAGTCATGATCATTTGCAACTGAGCTCGTCCGAATACATATCCGGACGCAGAAGTGCCCAAGAATGTGTTGAAACATTGGTACCCTCGCTCAGCACATATAAACTGGTCGACATGGTCAGAGAAGTAACACCCAGTCCGGTGCCACAACCAACAAGTTCTCAGGGTCCCAGACGTGTTGTATTCCAGGATGAACCCGAAGTAAAGGTTGTGGACACACCCACTCAACAAGGTAATGATGATGATGATGAAACCCAACACCAAACTCAAACCCAAACACAAGAACCTGATGATCTTCCCGAAATTTCCAAAGACGACAATGGTCACGAGGCTGAGGCCGACCAGGAAGAGGAAGACAAAGGTTTAGTTGTAGAAGACCGCTCTCACATTTTAGAAAGTCAGCGTATTTTCCAACCCACTCCAGAAATCAAATTCGAAATTGCCCCCGTCAAGCCTATACCTCCAACAAAAATTCCCAATCCTACTCCCAAAGAATGGATCAATCCAATGGTGGCTGTACTAACCACAGCTCCCGAAACTCCCTTCCACATGGTTGACTGTTTGTGCCCCAAGCCCTGTGACGATTGTACTTGTCAGGTTGAGCCCGAACCCGAACCTGAACCTGAAGAAGAAATCTCTAAGGTATTGGCTGAAGAGACAACATCTGAACCCAAACCCGAACCTTATGAAAGACCTCTCTCTCCAGAGCCTGAACCCGAACCTGTATCTATTAATTCCATATGGGATACTCCCACCTTGACCAAGGCCATGACCATTGCGCCACCTTTCGAATTGAAATTTGCTCCCCCCGCCTCTGAGGGTGTACCTCTGCCAGAAGAGACCGTACCTTATATGCCCCCACCTATCGAAATTAAACCCTATGTTCGCGAAGATTATCGTCCGAAATCACCATTTTTAAGTGCTCTTACCGTAGCTCCAGATCGGCCATTCGAAGGTCACTTCGATCGTGATGTGCCCATACACATCTTGGATTTGCCGACGCCAACGGGCGTTCTCACAATGTCAGATGCTTTGCGCACGGCACCGGATCGCCCCTACACTCCTCTGGATCCCGAGAATGCCACTCACCGTTTCGAGGAGGAACAAAAGGAAAAGGAGAAAAAGAAGTTTGAGTTTCAGGTTCTGGACAGAGAAGAAGAACTGGGTATTCGCAAGCAGTCAATAGACAAGCCTGAATATTTCACAACCGACAAACGCAAATCTTCGACGTCAGCATTTGCGGCCATGCAAGCATTCCAACCATCCAAACAACCTCTGTCCTCTACCTCAACTCCGGCCACACCTCGCACATCGATTTCCTATACCAAGGCTGAGAGTGATGTTGACTATCAAAAGTTTTGTGATGCCCAAGATCGTTATCAGAAAAGACGTAGCTATTTCTCACAAAAAGAGCAAGAGCTCTTACAGCAACAACAACAGCAACAAACAAACACAGTAACTACCTCACAACAACAGCAACAACAACAACAGACTAATACTACACGTGAAGAATCCTCATTATATTCCTCTACCAAAGCTAGCTCTTCTTCCTCTAACACCTCTTCCGCAGTCCAACAACAACAACTTGTACAGAAACAACAGCAATCCTCCTCATATGCCTCGAACCTAACACAAGCTACCACATCCTCGTATACGGCTTATGAAAATGTTGGGACCACCTCCACAAAACTAGAAGCCAGGGAAATAATCGAAGAGACCGCCGAAGAACTCGAACACTCCGAGGTCATTTTCCCACCACCATCTCCACTCAGCCACTTAAAACAGAAAACATCGTCGGGCCTCCACCGTCCCGAAAACATACCCAAATACCAGCGCAATTGGACAGTGCTGCCGTCACAGAGTCCGGTACGTACTCCCGAGCCGCATGAGTTGCGGGAGAATGTACCGCTGGCCTTTGTCGACACCCCCAAAACACCCACCTCCACCAATGGCCAGTCGAACGAAAACACTGTACACAAGCCCGTGGCCCAAATGTCGACACGCTCAAGTACCGCACAACAGCAATCCTCCGCCCATGCTAGTGCCTATAGTTCAAACATCACCAGTACCCACAGTGAACAAAGGCAACAGCAGCAACAACAACAACACCAAACCGCTTCTGCTTCTACCCATACCTCCAATGCTAGACAGCAAAATAAACCTACCGCGGTTCCCATTATCATTGAAGATCGCTCCGGCCCAGTAACTATGGCTTTCCAATCGCTCGACGAGCACGTGGTAAGGGATCATTCTCAGCCACCATCGCGGCCTTATACTCCCTCCAGACCAGCCCCCATTGTACCGGCTTATCAAACTCCCGAAAAACTCTGCTTTGACGAATGTCCAGCTACTCATGCCCGTGCCTATGATGCTCGTTCAGCCTCTCCATTTCCAGATCGCGCCCGTTCGCCAGCACCTGGACCACCACCAAATCCCTTGGCTGCCATTCGGGCTCCACGCCTTAAGGAGAATGAGGTGTCCAGCTTGAGTCCTCGTGTCTTGCAAGCCGGATCCATCACCACTGGTCAAAGCTATTTGGGCGCCCAACAAGCTCAGAAGCAGGAGAGAATGTTGTCGCACACGGAGACATCGTCGCAATCGGGTATGCAGAGTTACTCGCACCAACCGGAGAAGAGGGAAGAATACCAAGTCGGCAATTTGAGTGTTCAAAGGAGGGAACAATCGTCCCGTATGGCCGAACAACAACAAAGCCAAATGCAGTCTCAGACCACAACCCAGGTGGGTAATACTCAGATCGAACGTCGCCGCAAGGTGACCGAGGAGTATGAACACACCTCATCGGCCAAGACTGTGGAGATACGTACTGGTTCCCAGACCGCGTCTACAGAGCGTAGGCAATCATACGGCAAGGGTTTTGTGGCCAATCAAGCTCGCCGCCTATCGGGCCTGGAACAGGAAATTACCAACTTGACCCCACAATCGCAGGCAATTAGTGCTCGGGCCGCCACCCTCACCGAAACTAAATTTCCCGAATTGGATAGCCCCGAACCGGCGATGGTCGCCAAATTCCCTACAAAACCAATTTTACCTCCTCACGATGAACCTCAAGCCCCGAGCTATGTTGTTTCTGGAGCCGCTTGTCGGTCATTGGCTAACACGTCGTCAAGCTATCAACAAGAGCAAAAATTGTCTTCTGTTTGTGGATCATCTATGGTTTCCACACAACAGCAGCAGCAACAGCATCATCAATTGCAACAGCAACAACAACAACAGAAATCATTAACTACATACTCGTCAGTATCATCTTCACAACAACAACAACAAGTAAACACCGTTAGCTCTAGTCTAACCAAAGCTTCTGCCACCACTTTAACTAATAATCAAGCTTATAAATCGATCACAGCTGGTACTAACCAAAATGCTACATCAACAACTGCAACAACAGCAGCATCGGCATCGGCACCACTCGGTGTCTGTCCCGTTACGGGTACATTCTGTCGCCCCGGTCATACGTGCTGCAAACAACAAACAATGCAATTAAATAACAATGTTAGTAATGGCGCCGCCTATCGGCCGAATGCTTCTTTAGGTTCTGGCAACGCTTCTAATAATGCAGCCAGTAGCCAACAACAGCAACAGCAGCAGTCACAGCGACAGCAACCACAGCAGCAAATGCAATCTGCACCAAAACAAGCGCCAGCACCAGCTCCAGCACCAACTGCAGCCGCTTCAGCTTCCACAAATTTATCAACTCCATCTTCTAATGTCGGTGGTTCTAATGATTCTGCAGGTGGTCTTGCTCCCAAGGGCGGTGCCTATGGTGCCACCTCGGCTCCCAAACGTGGACGTGGTATTATGAATAAGCCTGTGGCCGCTGGTGTCCGTGTACCATTGTGTCATAGCTGCAGCACCCAAATCAGGTCAGGAAATGAAGCGGCAAATTAAGGAAATTTCCAGATATTCCTTTGGAAATTTCTTTGTTCTTGTTCTCAGCGTTCATATGCATGATTTGTTGTTGTGTGTGTGTGTTTTTTTTTTTTTTTGTATTTGGTTATCCGTTGTGATTTGCATGTGTGTGTATATTAGTTAAGGGTTTGAAATATCCATGTGATATAATATTGTTTTTACCTCAGGATCAGAGCTATATGTTTTTTTATGAAAAACACCGGATAGTTTGGATAGCTCTGTTTTCTCAGTTCAACAAAGGTACTTGTCATATCTATTCAGAATGGAATTGCAGAGAAACAGCGAATTTTTGACAAAAAAATTTAAAAGTTGCAATTATTGATTTGTTCTTCCCATTTTAAAATTCGATTATAAATTTTTATTAGAAAAATTATTATGATCTGTAAAATAAATATTTTTGGTAGCTTATTTTAATATGGATTTTTGATGGAAAAAATCTCAAAAAATAGAACAATTATCAATTGCATACTTTTTGGCTTACGAGAGAAAATATGGTCGACGAAAATTTTGTTATTGAAAAATCGAAAATCGAACACATTTTCGAATATTTGTAAAAAAGACATATAAATTCTTCTCAAAGCAGAAGCATGAGATACGTTGACACATGAGACAAGTTGACGCTTAGCCTCAATGTAAATAGAATTTTTCGATTTAACTAAAAATCGATTTTCGTTTTTAACTTCCCAACTCAATTAAGTCAATTTTTAATTCTTCAATTGTATTGCCAGTCAACGGATTGTAAGATTGATTTTTATTTACTTCTTGGTAATTGTTATGAAAGAGAAGGACATTAGAAATATATTTGGCTTTTTTTGGCTCTCGAGGAAAATTTAAAGTCGTTCAAAAGTCTATAACAAACAAATCGAAAACCGATTGGGAAAATTCGATTACAAACAATATTTAGTTTTAGTTATATTTTGACGATACCCAAGGTCAAATTTTAATTTCAACAAAACAAACTCGAATTTCTGTCCTACGCTTCTCTGCAGTTGGGTTCCACTCAATATTCGATTTTCGATTAATTTCGATTTTATGATTTGTCGTTTTGTCCGCTGACTATCTAATCGACTTTCTCGTTGAATATTTTGAAACGTTTATTAATTAAAACCTAAAACATTGGTCATAGTATACTTTTTGGCGGTAGTGAAAATTAGAAATCGGAATAATCGCAAAATTGAAAATTCTATACTAAAAATCGATTACGATTCAAAAATCCATCTTTTTTTTAATTTGTTCGGATAAGGATATATATTGGGAATATAGTGTGTTTTAGATAACAAATTAAAAGTAAAAAATGTTTATTGTTGCATACTTCTAGGCTAACAAGGTAAACTCAATAGCGTTTAAACGTCTATGACAAACAAATTGAAAACCGATTAAAATATTCGATTGCGAACATTTCTTCTTAGTAATACTTTGACAATACCGAAGGTCAGAATTTTCAGTCCTGCGTTCTTCTCCAGTCGGGTTACACTCAATTTTCGGATTTCTTCAAAACAGTGAAAAATAAATATTTGGGTAATCGCAAAACCAAAAATTCATTACTAAATGTCCTCTTTAGGGAAATCAAAATCAACTTTCAGTCTTTTCAATACCAAAAATCGATTAACCGAAATAAATCGAAAACGTATACCCATCGTGGTGGTATATTTCTGAGGAATTTCTGAAGAATACAAGTAGACGCGTCGACACAGCTGCTGGGACAATGAACTGTCAAACCAATTTTGTAATTGAAAATGTTGAATGAAAAGTTATTTAAATTTGTACAAATTCTTGAAAAATGCATATCATAACAACCTCCGATTAGCGTCGTATAAGAAAACTTATAAGAATCTAAAAAAAAAAATTGCAAAAAATTAAAAATTTTTTGACATATCAATGTTCCCAAGCGTTGATGCATCTACCTGTATTTTTCTACCATGTGACGTTCTCATAGTGATGTTATGTTAATGCCTACGATTAAAATTTTAGTAGCAAAAATATTTTTCAGAAGTCATTCTGTGAAAAAAAATTTTGGTATGCTGTGTTACATTGATGGTCAGGGCGACCATGCTCAATTCTGTATAACAGAAATATTTTTAAATTTCATTATGTTTATTTTTATATTTTATTTATTTTTTATTTTATTTATTTATTTTTTTTTTTTGTACTGTGGGACGTCATTAAGCCCAATGGGCCCAGAAAGCCCATACAAAACATGTGTATATTTTTATCCACTATATATAGTTTTTATATGCTCAAAGTTGTCCAATTCCGATGACTTTTCGAGTTGTTATTCTCAAAAGCATGACATTTTTGTTTTCTTTGTTTCTGTTCCTACTAATCTTTGTCTCGTTATATTGTTTTGTTTTTCTTTGTGGATTTTTCCTCCCCGTCCGCCCCAACAGAGTCCATAACTAAACCGCAACTGTTTAGTGATACCTTGCCTCGCAAATCCAATGCTAACCCTAAAATAAATGCTTTTTCCGCTAATGCTGTTCCCGTCGCAGTTAACTCTGTCTCCTTGAAGCAGCAAGCTGACTTACCACCGCCACCACCACCGTCATCGTCATTGTCGCCAGTGTCCAGTGAAGATCCCACAGCAATGCTAAATGCTTCGCTCAGCAAAATAAACATGGACAATCAAATGAACAATTTTATGGCCGAGGCAGGAAAAGTGATTTCCAATATGCTGGAAGCTCGCCTGGCAAATGGTGGACCCTCACCCCAAAGTGGAAGCTCTTTGAGTTTGCGCAGCAACAGCAGCTCAAATCTTTCACGTAGTCCCATGGTGGTACGCAAACGTTTGGATTTGGATGATTTTAAGGATATAAATCCCATTGAACCGGCTGCCCTGAAACCTGTCATAGCAGTTCAACAAAATGTGGAATTGAAAAACCCCAATCTACATCAAGAGGCACCAGGCTTCAATGCCAAGGGTGTTTATACGCAGGAGCTGAACGCCAATCATCCCATGGGCAAAGTTCTGGATATATGTGATAATAAATTTAAGCCCACCTCTCCCCTGGCCGTACGGGCAAATGTCGAAACCACTAACGCACAAGCGGGTGGCAATCTACCACCCTCGGAAACTGTGATATATCGCAACAATGAACGTTCAAATCGTCGTGCCAGTCATGCCATGGATCGTCGTTCGTACATCGAGTCAAATGGTCAGAGCGAAAAGGCCAACAAGGATGGTCCAGTTTTTAGCATTAATGTCAAGGCCCTGGGCAAAGAGGGCACCGATCCGAATAAACCCATGTCGCCGGAAAATGAACAGGTTGTAAGTCAGTTGCTCAAGGAGGGTAAGAGGCCCATATGTTGTCAGTGCAATAATGAAATTACTTCGTAAGTGTGTTTCTTTGTTGTTGTTATTTGTTAATACGCTTTATTTTAAATTATTAAAAACTTATCTAATAATTTTATTTCCATTCCAACAGAGGTCCCTTCATCACTGCTTTGGGCAAGATCTGGTGTCCCGAACACTTCCACTGTGTCAATGCCAATTGCCGTCGTCCATTGCAGGACATTGGCTTTGTCGAAGAGAAGGGTGATCTGTACTGTGAATACTGTTTCGAAAAGTACTTGGCTCCCTCTTGCAGCAAGTGCGGTGGTAAAATCAAGGTAAGTATCCATAACCCCGACCCTCTTTGTATTAATGTCATTTGCCATGTTAATCCACATGTGCTCTCTCTCTCTCTTTCTTTCACTCTACAGGGCGATTGCTTGAATGCCATTGGCAAACATTTCCATCCTGAGTGCTTCTCTTGTGGCCATTGTGGCAAATTGTTTGGCAATACTCCATTCTTCCTTGAGGATGGCATGCCCTACTGCGAAGCTGATTGGAATGAGCTCTTCACCACCAAGTGTTTCGCTTGCGGTTTCCCCGTCGAAGCCGGTGATAGATGGGTTGAGGCCTTGAACCATAATTACCATAGTCAATGTTTCAATTGCACTGTAAGTATTCACAATTTATTAACGTTTGTATGTATGTATGGATGGATTTTTGGTAATGTTAAGAGATTAAATAGGCACTCTTAAGCGACCACAAAATCCGAAGGGTTGCTTGCTTCAATGACTGATTATGTTAAGTGGGTACACACTCATCGTTTTGTGAAGAGGATTAAAAGGAAAGTCATAATGTTTAATTTTTCTTTTTCAAAGAACACATTTTAAATGTGAATTTAAAGGAAGGGGTTTATGGGAATGGGAGTGTAAAAAATTGGGGAGTTGCCTGAGGGGTTAATTTGCAAAAGATTTATTGTGAGAGAAAGAAGAAGAATAAGTAAATATTATATGGGGCAACATGAGATAGAGAAGTTGTATTGGAAATTTATTTTAATCCATCGGAAAGATATTGGAGGAAAATTTAAAACAATGTAGCACATGATAATTATACCCTACAACACTATGTGTTGGGGTATTATAAGGTTATGTAAAATATTGGTCCCCAACATAGGAAACCATATGTGAATCTTCCAACTCGACGAGCTGAGTCAATCTAGCTATGTATGTCTGTCCGTTAATTTGTAATCACGATGCAGGTTGCAATTACGGCTCGATCGTCACGAAATTGAAAATGTAGGTGGAGATAGGGTCACAATAGTTGGAGTTGAAAAGATCAAAAACAGAAAAAAAAAAAAAAATCCTGATTTTGCTGTTGCTCTACAGGCCACGATTATTATCCAATCGACGCGGAATTTTTCACGAATACAGAGTTTAGGGCTTCGTAGAAGCTTAGTTTTCTATACACCGAAACAATATGTGTTGAGGGTTTTATATAAAATTACGATCCGATCCTCTATTATGGTCCAATCCTCAAAAAATTTTACGTAGGGGTAGGGTTTGGGTCAGAAATAAAGTCTATTGCTTTTGAATATCAACATATTATAATATTGTAGGGTATCACATGGTCGCCCCGCGTCTACAGCCTTTGCTTACTTTTTTTCATGAAAATGTTAATAGACCATCATTTTAACACCACAATATTATTAAAGACCAGAACACACCATAATTTTGAACCTTTAACCCTAAAGAAAACTTTTGGAATAGCTGTTTAAAATTTTGATTTGCACCTGAACAAAAATTATATTTATTGTTATACGGAACAAAAATTGAAAATCGGGTCAGATATGGCTCCCATCTTTCATCTGATTTGACATTGAAGTCTCTCTAAAGACTTCAATGCAGTCCACTCCACACTCGAATATATCTCTCATATGCATATTCAACCAATTTCGAGTTGATTGTGCATCGAGTATGTAATAGGATAGATTTGGGCGTATAAGATCGTTTAAGTAAATATGTCGAATAATTAAATAGGTCGAATTTAGTGAAAATCGGTTCAAATATGGTGTAAAGTATTATAGAATCGACGACCATTAACTTTTGCCTTTACTTGAATGGCTTATTTTTGATACTCATCAAATAAAGCCAAAGTCTAAAAAAGGGTGCTAATTTTTTTTAGCACCCTTTTTTTTTAAAAAAAATCTGATGAAAATTCTGATAAAATCATAAAATACCGAATATTGGTGCATATACGAAACCAAAACCACCAATACGAACTTAAAATACGCAATTTGATAAAATAATATCAAATAATTAATTGAATAATCCAACTACCGAATATACGAAGGTATCATTATATGGGGGTTATACGAAGACTTGGACATGTACGAGTAATTTTCTGTCATCGGATGTAGTAGCTATTAGGAACTTAAAAATCCAAATTTTAAACATTTCCGGTGACAAATGTGACACAAATGAAAATACAGACTATCTGGAAGCTCAGTTATATGGGGACTATAGGAAAACTTAGACCCATATTGAAAGTTCTATGCAAGCATGCTTCTACTATAATGGGAACATATACTGCCAATTTAAACCCAATTCGGGTTAAAATTTGGGTCTAAAACACCTTAAAACCCTGAAACCTTTCGGTACAGTTATATGGGGGCTATACCAAAACGTGAACAATTTTTAATACCAAAATTCCTGCAGACCTAACACAAATCTGAATAAAATTTTATCAACCTACCTCATTTCCTTCGAAAGCTAGAGTGATTTCCACAGACGGATACACAGACAGACAGGACTGTTAAATCGACATAGAATTTTATGTTGTTGAAGAGAATATATATACTTGGTGGGGTCTAAAATATAAAAACTGAAATCAAGAATACTCTATATTTAATGTCATTCCAAAATGAGCAAACGAAACCAAAGTAAATACCGATCATTTTTGAGTAAGAGATAAATTCGCTCGAAATCGAGCAGATGCTGAGTAATCTTTTAGATTTTGCGTTATTTATAAGTATGCTATTTGACCCGCAACGCAAAAGAAGGCAAATGTCAGAAAGCCTATGGACGTGAAGTTGCTGCAAAAAATAATTTTTCCTATCGATTTCATCATGAACAACCGCTAATCTATTACGAACATTTTGTCTCCCACTCTTTTTGTCCACACAGGAGTACTCACTAACGCTCCTACATAAAACAAGAAAGTGCAAAATACACTCCTTGTAAAACTTGTACTCTTTGAATACACCCACTCGGAAAATGTTTTCATTCGCGAGTAAAATCGATAAAATCTTAGCTCTGATTAGACTGTAGCGCTCACTCACAATTAAAGTTATTTTTTTTCTTATGAGGCAAGGAAACAACAATGCATTTGCTTATTGAACTTTAAAAATGCAACTGTTTGTAATTGAAATTTTGTTATTTGAACTTCGACTTACAAATAAATGGCGCCCAATACAATTTCAAGTGGGCAATTTTGCAAATGTTATGTATTTAATCTTTTAGGTTTGTTTTAAAGTTTTATTTGAGCATTTTAGACATAGTATAGATTACGTCACAGATACGACACCAAGATGAGGTTTTATTAATATTAAGTTGATGTTTGATAAGAGAATTTAGAATACATTTTTTTATTTCGCTAAAAAAAAACATATTTTTGCTTTTTCTAATAATTTTATTTATTTATTTTTTTTTCATTTCAGTACTGCAAACAAAACTTGGAAGGTCAAAGCTTCTACAACAAGGGTGGTCGTCCCTTCTGCAAGAATCATGCCCGTTAAGGTCGCATAGCCCTGGGCGGCATCATTTGCAAACACCATCAAATGCAGAGAGACATTTTTTTCTTCAGCTAATAGAAAAAAAAAGAAATAAAACAAAAAATGAAAAATTATAATTTTCTTAATACTAAACCACGCACCTTATCATCAGGGATCACATTTATGCATAAAACATTGAATATAATTAAACAAGAAAAACAATAATTACTTAAAACAAACACTATTTTTTCTTCTCTTCTGTTTAGTTAATCATAATGAAAACAATAACCTTAAATATGTAACAAGAAAGTGAAGAACATTATTTAAAAAAAAAAAAACAAACAAACATAGCTTATTTTATATGAAACCTCAATAAAAAAAACCCCAACCTACCACCCAGAAAACTTGATGGGAAAATATCTTACATTTTATGATTCTCAATAATAAAATTATTCAAAATCTTTTTTTTGTAACGAAAATATAATTGAAAATTATCACCCCTCCTACTCGCCTACAAAGAAAACGATAAACGATCCTCTTCTAAATATTTGTATTCATTGTATTATGATGTCTTTGAATTTCAAAATAAATTTACAAATTTAATTTTCGGGGAATTCAAGATGCATCCTTCTTGCATTGCATGAAATTCCTTTTGAAATCTGAAAAAAAAAAACAACAGTGACTTTGTTTTTCATTTCGCTTAACTCTCCAGCTGTATTTCAATTTGTTTGAAAGTTTGCCATTATGGTTGATAGATGTTACAATTTCTTTTTTTAATTTGTTTGTATTCCTTATTTGAGAAACAACAAATCAAATGATTTGTTTGTTGTAAACTAAAATTTGTTGTTGTTTTCTTTAATTTTGGCTCCAATTCTCTCCCATATTTGTCTGCTTTAAAGTATATATTTATTATATGTTATATAATTATTATTATTATCATTATTATTATTAAATGTATAAAACAATTGCAATTATATTTAATGACAACAAAAAAAAAATCATATTATGTAATTTTTAAAAACAAACTCAACGATTTCTCTTTTTTTTGCGCTGATAAAATTTAATAAAACAAACAATTTGAATGAAATCCTAGATTGTTGGTGTAGTTTTATTTCCCGATTGAAGTATTGCGGTAAGAATGGGTTATTGAAATCACAATAAATGATAATATAGGGTAAGTGTACCAGTAGTCGGCACTTTAAGGATTTTCGCGTTTTTAATCGCTCACAATTCTGAATTGAAATGTTCAATTATTACAAAGTTAATTTATTCAGATTCGAAATTGTGTATAGTTTTTGCAATAATAAATAAGGTTTTAATAACTTTTTATTAAATTTAATAAATTTGTAGTTTTATTAAAACAATGCTTTTTTGCCAGTAGTCGGCACCATTTGCCAATTGTCGGCAAGGCATGTTCCAACAGTCGGCATACCAATTTTTTTGTAAGCATAATTAATAATAATAATAAATTAATTCATTAAAAATATAAAAATATTAAATATTTTTGTTTAGTTAAACTGATTCGACGTCTTTATTGTACTTTTCTTACGAATATGGGTTGTTGAGGACGTTCACAGACAAAACTTTAATTTTTTTTCATACCCTCTTCAGAAGTAAATATACATCACACTAAGGTCATTCTTCAACGATCGAACAAATGATAGTCGAAAGGGGGGGAGGGGGCGGGGGGCGGGGATCTGGGCAATAAGCCGGTGAGTCTCTGTTTTCGAAAAAGATTTTGACTGATATTGCAACATATTTGGCTTGGAGCATGGTGGCCGAAAGCCTCTCCTACAATTAATAACCTCCAGCACACGTTTACATCGAACAAAATTAAGTTATCCCAAAAACACAATTTACACACACAATGTGTAATTTTATATTTAACTCTTCTATTCTATTAAGACGTGGACCTGCATACGCTGTACTACACCATTTTGCTAATTTAGTAGCAAAATGGTGTAGGGTATCATAGAGGGAGAATTCAATCATACACGCTATGATTATAATTACAATTTAAAGTTAAAAGACTAAAAATGCCGAAGCATTTGTACCTTTTAAATTCGGACTTGTATTGCCCATTATATATATATATATATGGGAGCTATATCCAAATCTGAACCGAGCTTGATAAAATTTGGCAAAGATATTTCTGAGCTGTATTTCATATATTTCCCTGAATATCGTTGTATGGAGTGCATATTACAGTTATGGTTAACATATATAATAAATCGGATGAACAATATATATGGGAACTATACAACAACAAATATTGTTGTTGCAGAGTGCATATTACGGCGGCGGTGGACAAAAATAACAAATCGGATGAACAATATATATGGGAGCTATAGCTATATCTGAACCGATTTCGATCAAATTTGGCATACATATTTTCAGACCTAATTTGGGTGTATATGCAAAATTCCATACAATTCGGGCTGATATTACACTTTTGGTGCACAATAAAAGGCAAATCGGACGATGATATATATGGGAGCTATATCTAAATTTTGACCGATTATTTCCAATTTCAATAGGGTTCGTCCTTGGACCAAACAAATGATCTGTGCAAAATTTCATCTGGATCGGGCAATAAATGGGATCTGTACTTTGTTTACAAAAATACATGGACAGACGGACAGACGGACGGACGGACATGCATAAATCGACTCAGAATGTGATTCTATGCAGATCATCAAAAGGAACTATGGGTCTATCTCGTTTCCTTCTGCCTGTTACGAACAAATGCACAAAGACATAATACCCTGACCTACACGTTGTGGTGTAGGGTATAAAAATTGAAATTACATGGAAGGTATATTTTTCTATGTATTTCATTGGGTATTACTCATGCACAACAGTAACCAATTGTTGCACATTTTTACCTTCATATATGTCCAATGACAATAAATTTGACACTGATAGATCTTGTCATGTTAATTACCATGGTTAATCGCTTCGAAAAATATGTATTTGAACGCACTATTAGCTGTCGTATCAACTGGCGCCATCTATACATTCTACCATTTACCAATATTAATATTATTATTTATAACTCAGACATCAACCAACGATAGTTTGCTACTGTCGATTCATAATAAGGTAAGATCGATAACAATTTTTGTTCATTTCGATTTCAACACATCAAAGTGTACAGTACACATATATAGCATTGTTATTTCAATCCCAAAGATTAAACCCTCGTTTTCTAATAATGTTTTTAATTTAAAAAAGGACTCAATTTCATCCCAACAATTATATGCCATAATTTTGGTGATTTAATTTTCGTTCTGCCCCAAAAAATTCGCAGAGCAAGAAAATTTCCCTCCCAGTCATTAAAAAAGGTCATTTGCTGCGGTCAACAAAGAAATGGTATTGCTGAGAAGTTCATGCCAAATGATGCAGAGAATGGCAGAAATTGGATAGAACAAACAAAACGAGAAGAGATGAACAAAAATCAATACTTCGTTATGCCGTTTAAGTGATTTCATGCTTAACCAATTTCATTTCTGACTTTTTGGGCATGAAAAAAAGCGGTAACCAGAAAGGAACTCAAACCTTATGGTTATTGTTATGCGTTCGTTAGGTTTGAATTTGCAATTTGATACTTTTTCTCCACATTTCACTTTGATGTCTTAGTTCGGTATTTTTGTTTGCCAAAGGAAGTGTTCTTTTTTTTCGAAGTTGAGTTTGAGGTTTTTGTGTGATGTTGTTTCCATCGGTGCCAAAAAACATAATGGTGTTAATCGATTTTAACACTTGTTTCCTTGGGGTTAAGGCTGGTTGGTTTGGTGATGAAAGGTTAAGATTTTTGGAAAAGAATTAGGGAAACAATGACATGAGTGGCACCTTATCTCAATCGGAAGAACTTGTTGTAAGCTAGACAAAAAATCAATGCTGAAGTGGGTGGGTGGAAAAATAGTAAAAAGAGCTCAAAAGAAAGGTTAATGAGCTGTATGAGTGATAAATATTTTTTTTATCTTACGTAAGAATTCAGAATAAAAATAACAATGAATGTCTCTTACTCCAATCTACGTTCTACAAAATCTTTTGAAGGGTATTTTGAAAGAACCTGAAGAGGTATTCTTTCCTAAGAAAACCATAGAATTTTCTTCTACCTATAAAACGCCTTTGAAAGGCATTCGAAATAATTGAGATCTTAATAAGAAGCTTCATAACAGCTGTATAAGAATAGTTAGAGATCTTTAAATTACAGTAATCTTGCAAATGACAAACAAGTAAAATATGCTCCACATGAAAATGCACAAAAAAATATATCGCTTAAATGAAAATCGTTATATGCGAGGCTATATAAAGACATGGGTTGCATAAGTAATTTTTTGCCATGGGTTTTAGTACCCATTACAAACTATAAATGAGACAGTTTCGGTCTAATATGTCTTTAAGATCATTGAAATATCGAATATTAGGAGGTACAGTTATAAGGAGGTACCGTACAAAGACGAGGACCTTCATATATATTTTTAATACGAAATTTAAAACAATTCCTGTGAGTTATGTCGCCAATATCCTCAAAATACCGAGTAAAGGGAGGTGCCTTTATATGGGGGTTGTACGAAGACTTTGACCGACTTAACCCATTTACGACTTAACCTGCATACTGATAAAATAGCCCTCTATCTCAATTTGTTCGAAATATAGCGTGACTATAACAGACGGAGAGACAGGCGGACATCGCTAAATGGGCTTAGAACGCTGATCTGCGCTGATCCAAAAGTTAATATACCCTCCATAAAATGGTGGAGGGTATAAACAAACGACCTTCTGGATATAGATGCCCTATAGAAGGTCTTATGTCTACGGAAAGCATTCGGTTGCTAGTTAGGATTCTATCTGTTAAAGGCTAGTTAGGATTGCAGCTGTAGAAGATTTTCGGGAGATCTCCTAACTATAGGTGAAAAAGTGTTCTAATAAACTTGAAAGAGATGTTTAAGCCAAAACAGGCATGTGGAAGGTGTTTTAGCTATGAAAGAACAGCGGGAGGTCTTCTAGCTTCGGAAGATATGTAGAAGGATTTCTAGCTGCAGAAGGCCTTCCACGCCTGTTGAATGTCTTCTAACTATGGGAATTCTGAATAAGGTCTTCTTGCTAAATAAACCGGATCGGTCAAATTTCTTCTAGCTGTAGAACCCCCATACGAAGTCTTCTAGCTGTAAGTGACCTGAAGAAAATTTTTAACTAGGGAAAACTGATTTAGTTTTTATACCCTACCTACCTACACCACAAGATGGTCAGGGTATTATGTCTTTTTGCATTTGTTTGTAACATACAAACGGAAACGAGATAGTCCCATAGTTCCTTTTGTTGATCTGCATAGAATCACATTCTGAATCGATTTATGTATGTCCGTCCGTCTGTCCATGTATTTTTGTAAACAAAGTATATGTCGCATTTATTGCCCGATTTAGATGAATTTTTGCACAAATCATTTGTTTGGCCCAGGGAGGAACCCTATTGAAATTGGAGATAAAATACAGTTCAGAAATATCTTTGCCAATTTTATCGAGATCGGTTCAGGTTTGGATAAAGCTCCCAGATATATATCTTTATCCGATTTCAAGTTAATTGTGCACCAAAAATGCTTCGGCATATTTAGTCCTTTGAACTTTTAAGTATAATTACAATCATAGCTTGTATGATTTAAATCTTATATAAAAACTTTTAATTCTAATATGAAGCTCTATTAAATATGCAAAGTGGTGTAGGGTATCATAAAGACTTTAAGACTTTCTTTACTGGTTTTATTTTTTTTTCTTTAGAACAAATTGAAAATTTAAAAACTTGGTTGAATTTTCCCATTGTCCCAAAATTCAAAATCTTTTTCCCCGCATGTTGTTAAGAACAACACCTCGGGATTCACACATAACAACATTAACCCAAGTAGGGTGTTAAAAAGGTCAAACCGCATACTTTATTTGAAGCGTAACAGCAAACACTCACCCGGCAAACATTATAGAGAATAAAAAAAGTTCTCTCCCCTCCCATCACCACAGCAACATTTGAATAATATTGAATTATACTCACAATACAACGTTCAACTCCCACACAACATATACAAACCATTCCAATCCTCCGTAAACATATTCAGGCACATAACGTTCGTTTATTTTAAATCCGATTTACATACTAACCTAAATGCCACAGAGGAATAAAGGATCGAAAGTCAATTGGTTTAGTTGGTTAAATAAAAAACAAACAAAAAAAAAAAGAAGAAATAGTCAAGTGAATGACATAAATACTCTAATGGAGATTGGTCGCAACATTCTAGAGCAGTAGAAAAAATTGGTTCATGGAAAAGTTAATAAAAATCAGAGAGATGCAAAAGTTGACATCCAAAAATTTAAAATCCAAAAATTTAAAATATTTTACTAAATTGGCACAGAATTTTTGCAATAGTAGAGTGTTGATAGTATTTATTCTACTAAAATAATGACAATCTTCCGGAACTTAATACTGTCTCGCTTAGGAACCCAATCCGTATAATACAAAACATTTAAATTAATAAAATAAACTTAAATTCAAATACCCAAAGTTTGCAGTTTGGGATCATGTTAAAGCTAATTGTGTTGGATACCCAAGAATTCGAAAATTTTGGAGAAATAGGAAGCAAATAAAAATCCTATATTCAGCCTATATTAACTTACCACACCATAATATTTTGACTTAGGAAATGAACAAAAAATGCGAAAATTAACAAAATTGGCCCACTAATTCTTGTACCTTCTACACAAGAAGTTAAATCTATCCATATATATCTATATATAAAAGGAAGTTATGTTAGTTACTGCACTTATAATTTAATTGATTTTGACAATTCATACCATTTCCAAATTAAAAATCCAAATCCATCATGTAAAAAATAAAATGTGAATAAAAACGTATTTGTGACACTTATTTTTAAACGTTTCGTAAAATTACAAAATGAACCCTAATCGAAATAGTAAAGCGAATGGGAAATTAAGAAGAAGAAGAAAAGAATTTATATCTTCCCGAAAATTCTTCCGAAATCTTCAAGATTATTTTAAACGTGTATACCCGGGGATGGGAAATACAGGGTGGGATAAAAAATGCAACAAAGTCATACACCATAAATTTTACAATTTTTTTATATTTATTGAGTGAAAGCAAAACAAGTAAAAGTATCGGTCAGTTTTGCCGACTGATGTATACCCTCAGCCAATGTTCGATTATTTTAAAATATTTTGACTTCTGTTAGGAATTTTCAAACTCTTGACCCTCTATGGAGGGTTTGGAAAGAATGGGTCAATATTGGTCATTTCGTATCGGACCTAAATAAATATGATATAAATATTATTATATATATAAGAATATCGAACATTTATATCCAATTTATGGGAAATCATAATTTCCATATTCATCTCAGGATTCTGGATGAGAGACATTTATTTAGATATAGCAAGTTTTAATGAAGCTGAGTTGTTTCGCAATTTATGGCAGATAAAAGTATTGAAAATTTTGTCTTTTTGTGGCTGAGGTACCAGAAGGGGTTCGCAGATATATAGCATCTTCACAACAGATCTTGTGTTAACAAAAATGTTTGTATGTGTGAAATTTGAAGAGAGTTGCATGCCTATTTCGCTTTCTTTGGGCGTTATGTTTTTCAAAATTTTGAACCCACATAGAGTTCAGTGTAGGTAGCAAAAAAATGGGCCGATCCTACCATCTTTAAAACAGATCTTGTGTTGATGGAACTATTGAGATGTACCATGTCTGGAATGGAATCGGATGTCGATTTCACTTTTTATGAACTACATGGATATTCAACATTTTGAGAGTTTATGGGGGAGGTACCAGAAGGAGTGGACCGATATATTCCATCTTACTACCAGATCTAGGGTTCATAAAAATTGTAGGATGTGTGAAATTTGAAGACAATCGGACTCTTACATCATATTTTTTAAGGGTTATAATTATTCAAAATGTTGACCCTTGTAGGAGAGGCACTTGATGGAGTGGACCCTAACTATCAGTTTTGGCACGAGTCCTAGAACTGACGCAAATATTAGGATTGAAAAATTAGACTCTTGCTTCTCTTTCAGTGCAGAATATATATATATTTTTTGAAAATTTCGACCATTTGCTTGGGAAGTACCAGAAGGAGTGGACCGATATTATCCATCTTAACACCAGACCTTGGGTTAATATAAATATTGGAATGCGTGAAATTTAAAGACAATCGGACTCTTACATCACATTTTATGACAGTTGTTATTATTCAAAATTTTGACCTTAGGGGAGGTACTTGATGGAGTGGAAATATTAGGATATGCAAAGTTGGAGCAAAATCGGATTATCCTGTCTCTTTCTTGAAAATTTCGACCTTTTGTGGGGGTGGTACCAGAAGGAGTGGACCGATATTGCCCATCTGCGAACTTGATCTAAGTTCGACAAAAATATTACGATGTACTAAGTTTGTACCAAATCGGATACTCCCATCGAGAGTTATCGTGCGCACCAGCCAGATAGACAAACAGACAGACGGACATCGCTAGATCGACTCAAACAAATGTTCTGAACGGATTTGGTCCAAAAAGACCTAGGGTCTAAAACCATTATTTCGACTAAGCACGTTTCGACCGTATTAAATTGAATATACCCTCTGTGCCCATATGGTTGAGAGTATAAAAATCGAATGATCAATGAAAATTGTGACCTTTTGTGGGCAAAGTACCAGAAGGAGTGAACCGATATTGCCCCTCTCCGAACTCGTTCTGTGTTTGATAATTATATTACGATGTACAAAGTTCCAGTACCAGCCAGAAAGACAGACTAACGAACACCCCTATATTAACTCCAGTTGTTATGAAACGGATTTAATCCAAAGAGACCTATGGTCTAAAACCATTATTTGGATGAGGCACGTCTTGCCTCAGCAATTAACGAAAGTGTGACACATCATTTTCTAAAAAATTATCACATATTTCATACAAAGTGTAGGGAGTAAACAATATAGTCCAAGTCTGGTACGTCGCAATATTTATATCCTATATGAAATGCACAATATCGGCCCATTCCTTCGGAACCTGCTCCACATAGGGTCGAAAGTTCGAATAATCATAACCGAAGGCAAACTATAATCGAACATTGGCTGAGGGTATAGATCTGTCGGAAAACCCGACTGATTCTTTTTAACTTGTTAAATATCCCATAAATGTCTTAGATAAACGTGTAGTAAGATTCTACTTATTTTTACTGGTTTTCCGTTCTAGTACTCCTGGGTTGGTAAATATCCATTCCATCATTCATCTCCTCTTCCTTTTAAATAAAAACACCATTCGATTTTTTTCTAACAATTTTTTCATACATTTATTTGTTTTTCTGTAATGAAGTTGTTTGTTTGTTTTTTTTTTTAATTTTATTTTTGTTTTACAAGTGTTTTTGTTTTTGTTTGTTTTTGCCTTCATAGTTTACATATACATATTTATATTACTCGCTTATATGTGGAGCATGGGTACCTTTACTTGACTTATAAATTACATAAAAACATTTATTAATATAATATTTATTATTACTAATAGTTAATAATATAGTTGATATTATTTATATGAATTTTCATGGTATATTGTTACTTTCACAATGAGAAAATATTTATTTACATAAATTAAAAACTGGATTTATATACAACAAGAAAAAAATTAAAGTTTATTTAACAAATATTATATTAACAATTACTTTATTATATTGTTTTTGTTTTGTTTTCGTTTTATACTTTTGTGGTTATATAAAAATAAATACCTTTGGATTAATAATGAGAATATTGTTTGTAGTTGGTTGCTGTTGTTGTTGAGTTTAATATTTAAGTTATAACAGAAAATTGTTCTCTTTTTGTAGTTATTTAATGATTTTTATACAACAAACTGTTTGCAGTTGATTGTAGGACTGAGAAGCCTGAATTTAGAGTTTGGCCAATTTCATGAAGTAATAAAACATTTCCAGCCCTGCATTGGAAAATGCAACATCATTTTGGAACTGACATCTTTTCAGCCAAATCCAAAAATGTGTATTTAATAGGTTTATTTATTTTTATTTTGGCTCATATCATATTTTGACTCAGGATCAGGATCTATTGTGTTTACTTGTGGTATTCGAAAAGTTAGGGGAATACTTTCCCGTTTTAAAGCCTAGTTTCATATTCAGCAATCACTGGAGATATACATATGTAGTTTTAGTTTTTCAATATATTTTTAATTAATTTTTTTGTTTGTTTTTAGCTCTCATAGATGTGCCAAAATTTCAATTTGTTCTCTTGAGCCACTCTGTGTCACCTCCAAATTTGTTGAATTCTGACTCTCCACCATATTTTGGCTCGAGTCAATTTCATTTTGTGGTGTTATGGTAACAATGGTAACCAAATCATCCTTCTTATCACCACCCGAGGAGGATTCTCGTTTGGTAATAATACAATTTTGCTCCAATTGTATTGAATTACGCTTTTCCTCTGACTGACTCTTTGTGTTTGAACCAACACCGCCTCCATTAACCATAGTCGTCGAATTCACAGTTGCTGATGTTGTTGTCGTTGTATTGTTGGCCAAAGATGTACCCAATCTGGCCTGTATTGTTCTCTGCTGTAGCGTGTTGTATTCTGAAAGTTGTTCGACACTCAATGGCTCGGGAATATCTTCATTAGCTAATAACCGTCCGGAGGGTTCAGTTTCAATGCTACGCTCACTGCTGATAGTACCAGGTGTGGTATTACGTGAACGATAACTGGGTGGGAAACTGTATTCAGAGCCGCCAATGCTGCTTTCGGCACGTCCTGTGGCGCCAATGCCACCAGCTCCGCGTATTGTGGAGGTCAGGGGGGCTCTGTAAAGAGAAACAAAGAAAGAGAGGGGAGGAATAAATATCATTAGTGTCAGGTTTTTGTTAACTTTTTTTTTCGTGTGTTTGTTTCTTAACTTAATTTGCATATTTTATGTAAATTGTTTAACGTTCACATGTCGGGGTGTCCGTATGTGGGTATCGGTTTGTGTGTGTTTGTGCTTTTTCGAAAAAAAGGATATTTGACAAAGAGCAAAGAAATCCTCGTTATCTAGAGCATGAGCTGTGGTGCATATTTAATTTGCTTTGACACCTTTTTTCTCTAATTTGCATATTGATTGATTATATATTGTTTTAGCAGTGATTTTGGATTAATTTAGATTCCAGCCAACGGAGTGGGAAAGAGTGTTGCCAACCAATATTTATTTTTATTTACAAGAGGACTTATTTCGAATTTTTTAAGTTTTTAGGATAGTAGTTCGGGAAATACCGAAAATCAACCGTACCGTTAAATGTCGCTACAAAAATACAAAAAAACATCTTCGATAAAAATAATAATTAAAATAAAAAACGTATAAGTCCGCGATTATCATATAATAATATAAATGCACAGCTTTCATTATTAGTTGATAAAATCGAATATGGAAAATTAAAAAAGAAGAAAAAAATCATAAAGACTTTACATTTGGGAAAATTGTATAAACCATCCAAGACGGCGAAAGAGTTTCCAAAAATTGAAAATTTTCAAAAAATAAATTTAGGTTAATGAACATTTTATTAAAAAAAAAAATTGAATATTTTATGAATAACAATAATTTTTAAAATATTCACAGTTTGGCAAAAAAAAAAATAGTCAAATAGAAGGACTCAACTCTCCTAAGAAACTCTATAGGAAAATTGTTTGTAAATATATGAAAATATTGCAAAACTAATTATGTTTGTAATATGTAATCAAAACTTGATGTTGCGATTTTTGCAAAAAAAAAAAAAAAAATGGGTTTTGGCTACAAATCGATATTTCGACATTGACTTTTCAAACAATAATCGACTTAAGTCGATTTATGTTTTCCATTCGTTGATAAATAGTTTTGCTCAAAGTTGATAAGATCGTTTTTGTACTCCCCACCATAGTATGGAGGATACATTATGTTTGTCAGTCCGTTTGTAACACTTCGAAACACAAATTTGAAGTTGATCAGCATAAAATTCTATGTTGATTTAGCGATGCCAGTCCGTCAACCCCTCTGTGGAAATCACTCTAGCTTCCGAACGAAATGAGGTAGGTTGATAACATTTTACACAGATGTAAGTTAGGTCTGCAGAACTTTTGGTACTGAGTTATATAGGTCCATGTTTCGATATAGCCGTCATATAGCTTTACCGAAGGATTTGAGGTTTTTTTTAGTGTTTAAGCCACAATTTTAACCCGAATTTGCTGTAAATTGACAGCATGTTTTCCCATTATGTAAGAAACATCTTTGCATAGGACTACATATAACTATACTTCACTATATTTCTAATTTTGATTATTTGAATCACACTTTTCACAGGAAATGTGGAATTTGAAATACCTAATGCGAACTACAGCCTGTGACCGAATATTGCCTATGCTGGTCCACGTCTAAATTTTGATGATTTTAGCGATATTTTCCACCGGAATTGTTTGAAATTTGTATTTGAAGTTCATTATGGGTGCTACAGCCTGTGACCATATACATATACAGAACTTCGTATAGTTCACACATAATGGTACGCCCGGAATATTCACGGGAATAGTTTCATGTTTCGTATTTGAATATCGTAATGACCTAATTGCATGTACAGGTCTACTTTTTCGCATACGGCCAAACATTACGGCAACTTCCATATATTCGGTATTTTTGAAGATTTGCAAATATATATATATATATATATATATATATATATATATATATATATATATATATATATATATATATATATATATATATCTGATTTCAAGTTAATTGTAGACCAAATGGGTCATAAAAGCCCGAATCGAAAATGCACTAATGGCTCGGCAAATTTAATCCTTTGCGCTTTAAATTATAACTATAACCAATCATCAGAACATTTTTATGTATGGAACACCTAAAAGTATGCTTTAAAAGTACGTAATGTAAGTCTAAGATCGCTTTACATCAGCTATGGGCAGCCTCGAACAAAAAAGTATAAACAAACCAACACGAACTCGCAATGAGAATAAGAATCAGTCGTCGATGAGACACCGACGAATGAAGACGTGTGTGGCTGCACGCATTGCTACCGTTGATGCACTTAGCGAAACAATAGTTTTATTTGCACTATTTTATTTCAGCTTAACTACATGCCAGAATGCTACAATCGTATTTTATGGTTAAAAATGCTTTTGATAATATTCAATGCATTTTATGTGGCAAAATAAAAATATGACGTATTGAGACGTCATTTTAAAAATTTTTTTAAATGTAAATATTAATATTTTTATTAAGTGTCCCCTGCTTAAATAGCCTTAAATCTCCATTTTTTATTTAACTACTTTTGTATCGATTATTTGTAAATTAATCGGTGAATTGTTTTTTTTTACATTTAATTTAATTATTTATTTATGTTTTTAGTTGAATTAACATTAAATTTATATATTTGTATTTATACAAAACAAAACATTTCCCCCTATAATATGCTAGTACACTCTAATAATAATAATATCATTATGCATTAGTTGGCGCCATCAACTCATGAAATTTCTTTGAGTGGACGTTCACTCTCTCGCACCAATACACATTCATTTTTTGTTTTGAGCATCCCTGCTTTACATATTGATCACTTATATTATCAAAGAGTGCATAACTCAAGATATATTTTTGTAAGTTATCAATGCATAATAATGGCAACACTTAACAGAACATTTGTTGTGTTTTATTTTTTACCTATCCCTAACCTCCTATTTCAGGGAGTATACCTGCACATACACAATTTTGAAAATCGTTTAATATTAAAGTGATTGCAAAGCTGAAATGTGTTTTCCAAGATTTTTTTCCAAAGATTTTCGCTGTGGGAATTGATGGTAGGAAACTATATTAATTATGGAAAATCCTATAATATGCACCACATTTCTTTAAAGTTATGTTTTATCTAATCCAACACATTAACTGCTGCCATTGAATATTTCGAGTATTTGATTTTGTGTTATTAATTTATTTTTCAGACAGACACTCAAACCCCCTTTTTCTAATTGAAATTTTTATTGAATGACTGTTAATTGTTCTCATAACTCTTTTTGTCTGCAAGTGAATAGCTGACTGGCTGGCTCAAGTAGGCTTGTTCAACCTTTATTGGTTTCGGAAAAGTTTTAATTTATTTTCCTTAATAGAAAGAGGGAAGATTGTTGCGTTGCCTTACGTTTGTTTGCAGAGTGCGAGAAGTACTTCTTATCCTTAGACGATTAATATGAGGCTCATTTAACAGATAATTGCCACTTTGATCTTTCCTTAGCAACGTTTTTTTCTCTCTTTCATTTCAAAATAGCAAATGGTAATTAGGCACAAAAGAAACCGACCAATCGACGGACGGACAGACGGGAATGACTGGCTGGTTGTTATGGTTGGCACACTATGGCAAACGTAGCCAAGAATTCCTTTTTTTTTCTTCGTTTCCGTCTTTGTCCAATACCCCATCTCAGCTAAAGATATATATTTGAGTGTAGATACAATTTGAACAAATAAGGCATTCGGTCGATGTTACTCTGATAGCAAAAGCCAGAGGAATATGAAGATGTCGAAGATGCTGACAGGCAGTCGTTGCCCCGAAACGACTTTGTCTTGATTCAACATCAACTTTGTGTTTGGTTTCCATGTCAAAATATCCTAATTTTCTTTGCGTTGTTTTTGGGCCATTGTATAATTTTTAAGGATAATTAGAGTTTAAAATACATTGTTCGCCCAACTATGAAAGGCAAATGACTTGTAATGAGTAGCATCTTTTGTTCCTTGCCGTATTTCGTAGGCTAATTAAGTTATACTTAGTGTAGCCCATTAAACAGAGAAATACGGAAAATGGGAAATTGAATATTTTTTTAAAGAGGCTGTTGGCATAGCAACAAATGGAACTTTTAGCAGGATTTCATTGGGGGAAGGAGAAACTGTTATTTGATATTTCAATTTAAAGTTAATGTAGGGCAGTGAAACAAAATATAAAATTACTTTGTTGAAATGGTCGAACTGAAAAGATATTTAATGTAATAGCGATTTAATTGACTTGGTTGCTAGGAAAACTATTTTAAGCGAGGATAAAATGGGGAATAACCAGAACGAGAATATGTTATTCAAAACAGCTTTAGTGGAAAAATAGATTTAAAAATTATTCTCTGAACTAGAACCGAATTTGCTAGGCTTTGTTGCAGAAAAATTCAATCTAATTCATTGTCGTGGTGTAGTGGGATAGAGAGAAGGAAATGAATGAGTGGGAGTGATTTAATTTCTATGAAACGAATAAATAATTAGAGTCTCCGGGTTTGTGGAAATTCTACCTAAAAGGGTGTGATAATTCCAAAACATACGGAAATTCTGAAATATGGGCCACTCTTGCATCGACAAGTTTGAAAATTGGTACTATTAATTGGCACCCAATGCGCAATACAAAAACGAACCAATGGAACTAGAACTTTGAAAAAAATGTGTAGGGAGAAATGTATCCATATTTTTTATTAAATAGTACTAAACGGGTGTTTAAGTTACAATAAGTTACTAAATATCCCGAAGGGACAAAATTAGAATCTTGAAAGCTGGAATGTGGGTCTTTGTCTGTGTATGAGTAAAATACACTTTTCGTAAAGGGGAGAGGGTGAGATAAAAAAATCTGCAATAAAGTCAAACGCCATCATTTCTTACATTTTATTGAATGAAAGCAAAAAATTTCGGAAATAGCATCAAATTTTAGAATAAGTTTAGACTTGTTCGAATTGGTCACCTTTGGCACGAATTATGGCCTTCAAACGGCCAATAAAACCGTCACACGGTGCCCAAATGTAACTCTGCGGTATTGTAGCC